GACCACAGACGCCTGTTGCAGCAATTCATCGCGCAGCTGACGCATAAATCCATCGTCAGCAACCAACTCGCTATGCTGTCGAATCAATGGCAAGATCCCGTCGATAATCGTACAAATATCATTTTCCAGTCCTGCAACAATCGAAATATATTATTAATTACGTTCCATTCCACTCAACTTTCCAGTTGAGGAAGCAAATTCCAAAAATTCTACGACAATATAGTGTGCATTACGGACTCCTTAACCATTATAATTAGCTAGCTTGCTATATGAAATGCCAAAGCCATCGAAAAACAATACTTTCTTTTTTTTGAAAAATTAATAAGCGCCAAAAAAAATGAAAATAGAACCCAATGAATCAGTCATAACTGATTTTAGAATTCTCGAACAGCAAAGTGGATTGAGGATGAATAGAATTAGTGACACCATCACGTGTTTTTCGATCATATTTGTCATTTCTTACGAGACGAACTTAAGGTTATGGATGATAGCAGTAATTATTTAGCTTCTATAATGCCACAGCAACTATTTATCTTTCGTTAACTACAGTAATAGTAACACTAACAATAAAGTAAGGGAAGTTGATTAGGGACATTATAACGCTAATCCATATACAAGCAAATTTATTTATGAGATACTATAACTCAGATCGAACAACTCGTGAATAGACTTTGGAAGAGACAGTAATGCTCTCCGCGTTTTTTCCTTTTCCCTCTACTTCCCTTTTGTCATTTCTTGTGTTGCCTAATTCCTTGTCTTTTATTGATCCATTAAATGTAACCCTTAAATCCTGAGCAGAACCTGAGCATTGAAGCTCCAAAAACAGTGAGGCCCGTATAGTGCAAAAAATCTGGTGCATCACATAAAACAACGCATTTAATTGCAGTTCAGAATAAGGAACTATGAAATGAATTACAGATCGACCCTCACCATGTTCGTCATCCGATTTCTTAGATTGCTGTTGTTCATCAGTTACCACTTCAGTCCTATTACGTACTTTTTCCAGCGTCTGCTGCTTTCTTAATTTTGCTTTACCAGTAGATAACTGTCTCTTTGCTTGCTCGAATTTCTACAATAACAAACAACTAAAACGAAGTGAATTAATAATTTGGAAACTATCATTTTTCAAGGTCTGCCGTTCCTTTCTCAGAAAAATTTAGTGCAGTACTTCATAGAAGTCTAATTATGTTCAGTATTCATGATAAATAAGTTGATCATAAGCAAACAGTAACATTCAAATAAATGATCTTCCTATGTTATTGTAAAATAACCATTAATCACTTTTTCCATCTGAGACTGTAAACATCTGTTATTCAAAAACCTATGACAGGTAGCTATGAAATGCAACATATCTGACGTTAAAGTATGTAACAGAGTGGAAAATAGAGTGAACCGTTGCATGAAGCCAAACCGCCTCTACTCATTCCAAATGAGTTCTTGACTAATTCCTATATGTAATTATTTTTAATAGCTTTAAAGGCTCCCAAGAATCGAGGACTTACCGAAACTTCATCTGGTGTCAATTCACGGCTCAATCCACGCTCAAAACGGCTAGCTGATTCGACATGAATAAGTTTGAACAACTCCGTTGTTTCTTGTGATTCCGATTCAACCGATGCTAACTCACGGCATTCATCACTTGCATTCTTTTGACGCTGCAAACTTACTTTAAAACTCAGATTGAAGCCATGCGAAATACATGTTTAATTCATTCAATGCCAATTAAAACTTATTCAAAATTCAGCTATTTATAACAAGTGTCCCATCACATTTTGAAATTTAAAGGTAGTATTATGCACATTCTTTCCACTTCTCTACTTGAATCGTAATGCTGACATTCCACAAGACAAAGAAAAAGGGTAAAAATTTTCCTTTATTTCCCAAATTTCTATCAATGTCCCTTGAAGCTTGATTAAAATTCGGTTGCTTATTTACTAATTGTTCCATAAATGTCTACAGCAACTGTTTGTATCCAATAATCTTCATGGAGCTTCTTCATAAATAAAAAACTATAAATTACATAACTCATTTAGCCTTCTTTAACTTTAGTTCTAAAATGGACTGAACGATTTATTAGGAAATAAAACCATGAAAACAGTAAGTTATTTGGTATGGACTACTTTACAATCCATGCATGAAAAAATGCCGCTCATTTCCTTTCGGAGATGAAACAGAGGAGACAAGATTACTGAAAAAATTCTTTTCGTTCTCTCTGTTGAGTATCTCTTTTTTTAATTAAAAACAAACCACCACAACTGCACAACCAAAGGGACAGAGATAGTCACCACATGCAAATTATAAGTTTCACGGCAGAAAATAACCGACGGATTTTAGAAACATGCTTTTTAGCGAAATTTAACAAAAAATCGAATGGAACCCACAAAGTGGAAAACAAAATGGCACACATGGGTAGGGATGTCTGCTCTGCGGTTATAGCGTCCAGCCTAAGTGAACCTTAGCCCAGCTTAATCAATTTCTAAGACTGTGGCAAAGCATTCACTTAACTGGCCAGCTCACCTAGCATCACTTTTTTGAAACAAAATTTTTAATATTTCAATAATAATTATGTAACAACGGTAACTGCTACTTCAACAACAACAATATAGCTACCAAAACCATCATTACAACAAGCAACTAACAATCCAAACCAAAGAAGCAAGCAACAGTTAAGAAAACAAAATTGCTATGCTTAGTAATGGTTTACCAGAACACGAAACTGAATGCGCGGGTGTCACAAGTCGAAGTTTGTAATGCTTGCCCATCTCTCCAACTCGTCTCAGTTATACTTCAAGACTTCAATGACTTTTAATGCCTTGCGTTCCTTATCCATCTTTACAATTCGTTCAAGGAATAATCGAATTCAAAATCAAGTTCAGTATTTATTTTGATCATTTATTTAAGCTAGATCGAAAATCGGAAAACCAGATATCGAACTGGATGAATGAAAAAATTTTGATAATTATTTTATCTTGACGAAACATTTAATGCTCTTTGGGACGCCGGACATCATGAGACAGAAAGTAATAGGAGACTAACATTGTAGCACCATAGCAACCAAGACATAAGTATGACCACACACATGCACTCAGGAACACTGTTGAAAGACGGACACAGACAACCATATCAGATAAACAAACCTCATCAGTTTCTTCAGGAAGTCGTCTCTCGTCCGTACTCTGAAGTAGATCACTAAGGACAGAATCCAGATCGTTCACTAATTGTCCTTTTGCTAGATCCAACAATGTATTGCCAAGGCGTATGATTAATTGTGGTGCTGCGGTCAGTAAACATTTCCGGAGAGTAGCAATTTTCGTCTGACATGATTCCGTTGTATTAGAAAATGATGATCGATACTGTAAAAGAAAAGAGTTGTTCGATTTCAAAAAACTGGGCGGGGAGATTAGAGATAGTGTAGCCTCGATAACCAAGTCATATTGCTACCGACATTAAACAAAAGAAAGACTTCCTGTTCATTAATCCCATCCACTAGAAGAGTAATTGAGGTTATTTAAACTTCGATTAAATTTTATTAAAATATAGAAATTGAAAACCTAAACATGCCTACTAAATACCCTATAAGTACAGAAACCTAAAAAAATTGATCGTCTCTAACTTAAGCCTCGATATTGTTAGTCTTCTTCTTAAAACCAAATTATACTTCACAAGCCGAGGCAGAAAGCTCTTCTCCGAAAAACTTAAATACGACTTAGGATTAGGCTCCTTCTAAAGAATTAATACTTGAAATTTCACAAAAAGGTCAATACAAATAATACATTTTGAAAATAGGGGTCACGATCTAACTGTCGAAACATGCTATTCTTAAACAGAAGAAGTTCATATAATTCTCTAGTTCGGATATCTGAAGTAAAGAAACTCAGATATTTTTTTTTTAAATTAGGACCAAAACTTTTGGTTACAACTGAAATTATGTAATATTTTATGGAGAAAATTCCTTACAAAGGATATGGTTTGAAATCAATGAGCCAAGATGGAAAGTACAGTAGGTTATGCATATAAATGATTGCTAATAAACTGTATTAAAGCATTATATCAATGAAAGGTATGAACTCACTTGAATCATAAAAATATGCGATTAAGTATAGCAGTACACTAGAAGGTTGACATGTAACTTCCTGCTTCCAACACATAACACCATATGACATTATATGATGTATGTGATAGCAGGAAAAAGAAAAAGTGACGTAGGCTATTGAGGATGAAAGAAATAAATCCATGGAAACATCACTGAATAATTTGATAAGAGCGGAAGGTAGATCGGGGATAGGAAAGCATATTTCGGAACCTAAATTGAATCATTTTATGCTAATGAAGATGAAGGGGGTACCACTACCAGTAATAAATACACACACACATTCACATAAATAACGGTATTAACACAGACATCCTGAATACTTTTTCAATCAAGTTGATTACAAATCCACGAACGAACTAAATTGATTAAGCAAACTTGAAGACTGGTATATGAACTCCGTTAGGACCAATACGACTATTACAATTGCTGCTTATTACAGCGACAAAACCGAGAAGTTGGAGGATATTACTACAATATAGAAACTGAAAGCCTAGGATATATAAGCGTCCCTTGTATCCGTTGTAAAGTTTACAACAGTTGTCTCTTGGTACACGTCGCTACCATCCATAGAAGATTCCAATTTACTATTGCCGACACTATGTTACTACTAGTATATCTAAAATCTTCACGAGAAAGTCAATTTAGCCATTTAAAAAATGAACAAAAATTAAACAAAAATTAAAGCCAAAACACCCTTACTCGCAATGCTGCGTTATGTAAAACAACATATATCCTTTTTACGAATACAGTAATCGACGATATCTAGGGGAAGATCGGAATGAAAAGCGATATATTTAATAGACTGCAAAATCGGCAAATGTTCAAAAACGGGGAAAGGTGAGGTAAGGTACTGGTAGAGTGCGATACCGCATACCAGTTTACAAACCACGGCATAAAAGTGAAAACCAACAGATGCTTCATATGCTACTTCACGATTTCAACTACATCTTTTACCGTCAAGGCTATAAAGTCCCTGAAATTAAACAAAAATGTGATAATGGCTCCTTGTCACTGTGTAAAAAGCTCCACCTTGGAAATCAATCGATAATCTATATCTAAACATTATTGTGTTCTGGAAAGGGTTTCACAATACCTATCCGCACTGATAGATGTGCTAGTATATTCAGCAAGGAAAAGAATGAATTACAGGGAAAACAATTGAGCAGCTTGTGAACACATCAGAAAGTTCGGAATCTGACTGAAATTCTTTTTCAAATAAGGATGCAAGTGCTTTGTCAGTAAGCAGATAATTCTTATAGGATGTACGAAACGAACCAGGAGAACAAATTCAATTCTACATCTAAACATTACAGCTTAAGACCGAAAGCAATGGAAACATTGCTAAATGTAAAAATGACATGAGAAAGAGCCATCTCTTTACTATCCAAAATAATTGATTTTTTATTCCAGCTCTAACTACAGAGTGTTTACATCAAAAAGTATTCAGGAAATAGACCTGCCCCAAGACCATTATCAAACTTTCAGATTCAGTTCACATTTTCCCGAAAATAAAACACCTCCGTGAACCACCCCGTTTCACAAAAGTCTAAAATAAAAATGAATGGTTCATAGGAAGCTTTGGATAAAAACAAGGGGCACTTTGTCTGATCGTGTGATAGCCACAGAAAAAACAGCAACTAGCACTACGGTTAATTAAAATCCATGTAATCATTAGGCCACATTGGCTTGCTCTTTTCACACTTCGACAATTTCGAAATAACACTCCACATTTAAATAACCAACAGGAAAGGAAACAGCAATATCGTATGAGCTCCATGTATAATGTTCAAAAAGTTGGACAAACATTAGAATGAAAGAGGCTAACCAAAAGCATGAAAAAGCATTTTAGCATACTTATTGAAATTGTAAATTATAAGCTGAAAAACTGAGCTTGGGTAGGATGAGCAACCGTACTGATAGAACGTTTATAGAGAAAGAAAAAAGCTATAATACCAACTTATAGTCTAACTTAATAGCAAATACTTGTGTAGCAGAAAACAAAGTGACCATCGCAAATAATAAATTTTCCCCATCAAAAAGTATTTAAAATTTTAATGAAGAAGCTATAGCGACAGCAGAAATAAAAGCAATTGAAAGTAAGCATTGAAGGTGAAGGAAAATTTTATTGAAAACTATGCAAAACGAAAGGAAAAAAGTAGTCGCAATAGAATAGTAGGAACTCTTATTTAATGATCGAAACCAATCTTCCACGAGATTCCTTCCCTTCTGTTATCCATCAATTTGTTTTCTTCGTACATAGAAAATTAAGTTCACATTGATCGATAAGTGAAGTTAAATTCATTTTCACCAATGTTTATATTTAATTGGAATCCTAGCAAAATGATGGAGAACAGAAAATTTTGTCATCATTTCTTTCAGATTTAGTTGTCATCCATTACAGTTATCAGTGCCATTACATTGGCGGTTATACTAATCGACAACTGTCTAGCCAAAGATTGAATTAGAAAGACACTCATTCGAGGGCCTGCTGTGATATTCAAAATCAGGCTTGACATCCCACAACAGATGCTCGTCAGAAAAGGGACATATACAGTTGTCTCTGACATACAGTTGCGCAACCAGTGGGTGCCATCCTATTCCTTACATTCGTTAAAGCTAAAAGATGGAAAGTTAGGAATAATAAATAAATGAACAGCCGCGTCATGTCAAATTCTGAAGAAATCAACGCTGACAAATATCACTAGATGAGAGAGACAATTTGAACAACTTATGCTACTTTTTTATAAAATGACATGACGATAAATTCAGGCAAGGAAGGCTAATTTGCTGTAGAAATAGTTTAGTATATGAGCCGACTTATAAAATTTTAAAACTTTTCTACAACAATTATTTTCGATGAATTCAGGATATCATGCTTCATTTTATCGCTTAATCTCTTTTCAGTTTATTCAACAAACTGCTATGATTTGTTGCAGTTCCTATCCCATTGCCATTCTTTTCGTCCTTATAAAACCATCATATGTCCAGCATCTTCACAAATCAAGGTGAAAGTATGCCAAAAATTATTCACTTTTCATGAATATCAATAAGGTAACCTGAAGAAAACACTTTCTTGTGTTATGTACTCTCTCCATCTATATAAATACACTCTTTCGACTTAAATACTTTATCTAAATGACAGCAGCTTGACTCTAAGCTAACATTTAACATTCCTAGACTGATTGTTGGAGAAGGAAACAGGGTCAGGCATATGTTAAGTCGTTCTTAAATGACAAGAATAAATCCTTCCATTAAAATAGAGATATAAAACGATTATTAATAATTTTGATAAATAGCATTTTTTTTTTCATTGTTACTTTTCATTCAAATATCTTAGCAAGTTTGTAAATGTTATAGCACACCAAACGGCATATTTTCCTTAAAGAAAGCAGTCACCAACACTAAATGATCAAAACGAAGCAAACATTGCCAACATTGCAATATTATCAAAACTACGGCTTTAATTTATTTTAGAATATACAAGAAAGAAGTAATCCTCATCTTCTTACTCCTAAAACAGATATTCGACATGCTAAAGAATGATAAACTTGAAGAGCTCTGATCTGAGAAATTTTGAAAAATGTGAACAGCGATCCACATTTCCGATATGAGACATGATCAAGAATGAATCAAGAAAAAATCCCGAGTTGATGCGGATGAAATAGTAAAGAGATGAAGATTCTCCACGAACATCTTGTTTTAAAGCTAACAATTTACTGCTCCAAATTAACAAATATTTTTATTACTATATTAATACAGTAGACAACTATTATCATTAGTCATTTTACCACACTTATTATAACGGATTAACTGCTCCTCCATCGGTATTTCCCATTATCTGCTGTCCACAGGTATTGTAACTGCCTACAAGTGACCGAAACAAATTAATGTCACACTAAACAAATAAAATAATTTACATAACACACAAAGTTTTTTTTTTTTAAATAATTTACAAACACACATATAAATTATTTGCTTAGTTCATATCATACTCATTTTGATACAAATTTCACTGTACAGGATCCAGATTACGACAAAAAAAGAAAAAAAACAGACCAGGATTTCTAAAGTAAGGACTATTTTGAAAGTCTCCAAAGGATTCGATTAAAAGGAACATTGCAAATTACTCGCAAGTATTAAGTAACCATTAATCAGCTTCTCCTAATACTTTTTTTTACTAGTCACTCTTTCATTCCCTCTATTTTCCTCATCCTCGTCATTTTTGAATTTCCGCAACTGAAAGAAAAGCAATTGAAAAAAAAGTCCAAGGCTGAAGAAAATTTTGCGCATGAATTTATCGAATTCAGGAAGAAAAAAGATTTTGAAATACCACAAAAAATATATATTTGCCTTTACAAATACATCCAAGCTGCTGATCTACCCTTCCTCTCTCACACCCCCTGAGATATTATAAACAGACTAGCTCAGGCTCAGGCCAGCAAACAATCAATAATGAGGCAATAAGAACAAAATTTAGAAATTCGTACTGGGAAAGAGATACAAAGAGAGAGGGAGAGAGGGAGAGAGTAGCCAAATGAAAGACAAGAATTGTGCAGAAGTAAAATTTCTTAACAAATACAAAAAGATAGCTTTTATTTTAAACATGCTAACTCGCTATAACATCCTTCCTCCTTCCCTTTTTGGCGCATCCAAACCATGACCAATGGGTTAACGATATTCGAAGTGAAATAAAAGATGTACGGATGATAAACCAATTGTCGCACACATCGGAAAAATTAACATCTCCATTACTGCTCTTAAGAAAATCCAAAAAATTTGGTGTGTTTTTGCAAGAAGACCAAGCATTTCGTTTATCCTCCTATTATGGAAATCCATTCGTCTGCCTTGCTCTTCACTGATATAAAAGAAGCTTCTAAATGGATCAGAGTTCTCAGAATCAAATAGAGCCATCAAAGGTTTTCAAGTATAAACTCAAATATACTGAATCCTTTTGTAAGAAGATCATTATAAAGCGTTATAAAACTACCTATCCTATAAATCGCTTCTGAATTATCTATCCATTAAACCTAAAAGCGCAATATTTCAATAGCTAAAAAAAAATTAGAAAAAATTTTTTCTAAAGAATTTTTAGAAAAAAATCTAAAAAATTTAGTTGTTAGATCAACTAAAGTGAAGTACAAAATTCGGTTCATAATTTTAGAAAATTAACAGGTCATTAATCATGGAAGACTGGAGGATCAAATGAATACCTTCCAAGAAAAGCATCACTAGAAATTAAGTGTTCATAGACGGAATAACAATTACAACCGCATTTTATATCAAGATGGATGAAAACCTTTCTGGATCTAACTAAGTATGAATCAAAAGGAGTAAGTTATATTTGAGGGAAAAAAATGGCGAGAAAAGAAAGAAACATTAAAGAGGTTTTGACGTGAGCTGTAAAATCATATGTTAAGCTTTTGAAGTGAACGAGAACTAGTTACATGCAACAAAACACAATCTGATACAATAATGGAAAATCCAAGACTTGGAAATTGCGCCGACAGATGAAGTGTAATTTATGTAGTTAATTACTTGGTTAAGTTCATGGAATCCTCAGCTGAACGCTCCAAAAACCTACTTAAAAAACCACATTATCCTGATTTCTTAACCACATATAGAATCAAATATATATGATCAGATATACATGTGTCTTCGCAATTTTAACCTTCTGACCTTGAAAGTGATTACTGAAATTTCCTATCTTCACTTTTTGCAACAATATAACTGATATCTTTACATTTCTGAATCTGTATACATTCTCTATACATTCATTGTACAGATACCTTGTTCAAATCTAAGGCAATCGCAAAACTGAACAGAATTTCCTTCAAAACTTAAGCAAATTTGCAGTTGTTTACGGGCAAAGTTTGATGCCTACCAGATATATATCTCATTTTCTGAACTATTTAGGTGAGAAAGTGAGAAAAGGATAAGAGGGACTAATCAAAGTACCTGATGACTTTGTGAACCAATTGTTTCGAGCAACTGGCGTTGTTCTTGGACAGCCTGTTCAATACTTTTCAATCGCTGGCTATCTTCCGTTGTAAAATGACAACCAACCGAAAGGTCATCGCGCATTAAGTCGGCACGAGTACTTACATCGGTATTCATTCCTGATTTTTGTGCGATCACTTCCAGAAAACTGTTACGGGCTGCCTCAATAGCCTGTAAATAAACAATGCTTCATTCATTTTATAGCCTGTAAATTAAAATTTATTCATTTAGACATTTTATGACAGATCATGACTCCATTTAAATACAAGAAAACTGTCATAAGCTTCGCGCCAGTGCGATGTAATCCAACATTTGATGCAAATGGACACTATATAAGAATATGAAAAAGCACACTTTTAAAACGCATAACATCCTTTTTTGCCTGTTTAGGTTCACTTCGTTCTCGTCTGTTTCATAAAAACTTCAAAAAAGCTATTCTTTTCCAAGAATGGACGACAGTCCATGTGACTTTATGATTGAAAGATAAATAGCAACAATTTTTTCCAAACTACTTGGATTATACCAATTTCGTTTAATCAGAAAAATTTGGATTGTCATTTGGAAAGATATTATATTGTATTGGTAAAGACTTGAGAACAAAAATATTCAGAAGGTTCTGCTGAAAAATTGTTTAGGAGAGGAACAGTTGCGGCTGTAGGACCACTGATTCCTGCTTAAGTCGGCTTGAAACGATCAATCATAAAGCAACAACAGCTGTTCAGCTCATAACAAAAATGCAACGAAAATCACAGAAAAAGGGAAGATTTTTTCTTTTAATGATAAATAGGCACTTGATGGTGTATTTTACTTTTTTAATGATAAACAGACACTAAACGGTGTATTTGTGTCATTTGCTTTCTGAATTTCAAACGAGTGTATCATATATATATATATATATATATATATATATATATATATATATATATATATATATATATATATA